GAGAGAGAGAGAGAAAGAGAGAGAGATGCAGAGCAGGGGGACGCGAGGAACAGTATTAAGAACCGCTGCTTTAGAACATTGATTTTGAAACTTGTGAATCCATTAGAATCGTTAGAAGACAGAATTGCGATTCATCTATGAATAGATTTTTTGCACCTCTAGTTTTCTCTTCCTCTTCTCTAAAGCAGCGCAGCATGGCCTCGCCCCCTTTGCTGCCTTTTCCCGAGGGCGGGGTTTATCTGGGTTTGTTACGTCACGAACCCGGGAAGTAACTCGTTGTAGTCCCTACCAGCCGTTTTTGTAGGCATTAAACTGGCATAATTTTAAAAGACGATATCTCCGTTTGCATTGAACTTTCAGCGTCTTAACTTTGCAGTTATTGTTTATGCACAAACAGCAACATTACACACTAACTAACGTTAAAAAATGAAATCGCAATCAACCACCCCTTTAAAAATTGTCCTGGCTCTTCCAAGCGTTAGAATGGGAGCAGGCGGGTGTTTTTGTTCAACAGTCCAAAAGTAGTCAAATAAAGCGGATTTCAGCGGATGACGTAAGACGTATGCGTCGCGCACGCGCCAGTGATTCGTGACGAACGCAGAAGCGCGATGAAAAGAGACCCCAACACAATGCTGGTCACGAATTAGAAGCACAAAATGAGGATTTGTAAAGGAAAATGTTGGAGGATTTCGATATAAGCCAAGAGGAGACTGGTTTTCCTTTGCTAAAGTAAGGAAACTTTGCTTCCTTTGATCCTGTAAACAAACGTTGGTTTTCGCGAGACTCACACGCGCATGCACTGCGCCTACGTCATCCATCGGAACGGCAATCTCTCGTGAACGCGCGTACGACAGTAAACGGAAGTTACACAAAACTGTTTATATCGTTTTAAATCTGGATATTTTTCTTACAAAAACACATCAATTCGCTACAGGAGGCCTTTATTCACCCCCCAGAGCCGTGTGAGGCACGTTTTATCATGGATGCACGTGCTTTATTTGACTACGTTTGGACTGTTGAACAAAAACACCCACCTGCTCCCATTCTAACGCTTGGAAAAGCCAGGACAATTTTTAATATTACTCTGATTGTATTCGTCTGAAAGAAGAAAGTCATATACACCTAGGATGCCTTGAGGGTGAGTAAAACATGGACTAATTTTCATTTTTGGGTGAACTAACCCTTTCAAATCTTGTTTTTTGTGTTCATCAGATGCACATGGAAGAACCCTGCTTTGATTTCCTGAGGACAAAGGAAACTTTAGGGTCAGTTATGAAGCGTCGTCTTTCAGATTGTCTTTCTATGTCTAAATATTTCTGCTACAACACAGATCTTGTTTGACTCTTTCTTCAGGTATCAAGTGTACCCATCCTGCAGAAACACCTCCGGTGTCCTTGGTTTCTCAGTTACCGTTGAGACTCAGGCCACCAAGTTCAGGCAAGATTTATGGTCAAAACTAGACATTTATCTAGTCTGTTTTCTTTGTAAATATCAATAACGTTTTCTTTTTGCGATTTACTCTCATAGCACTGACTTTGTGGAAGGAAAAATCGAAGCTTTTCTAGTCAGCTTTGGGGAGAAGATGGTTAACTTGTCAGATGAGGCTTTTCAAACTCAAGTGACAGCGCTGATCAAGTTGAAGGAGTGTGAAGACACGCAGCTCGGGGAAGAAGTGGACAGGAACTGGTTTGAAGTGGTCACGCAGCAGTATGTCTTTGACAGGCTCAATAAAGAAGTGAGAAATCAATCCATATATTCCACTTCTTTATTATTACTCATGCTTTATTTATTAACACTTTTAAATGTAGTCTAGCAAGTATCAAAATGTATATACATTTTTCATACTGTACATTATACTGTCATGCCTTAAATGACTGATTTTAGTTTTTTGTGTTTTATTTTTACTTTATTTGGATAAAAAGTATAAAATTGTCATTTATAAGTTTTATTTATTCCACATCACCAACTTTTTTTGTTAGTATTAATATTGATTTACTTATTATTTGTGCCACCAACCATTTTTTGTTAGTCTTAATATTTATTTATTTATGCCACATTATTACCAACCATTTTTGTAAGAATTTGTTTGTTTGTTTATGCTATATACCCAACCTTTTTTGTTAGGCTTAATTTTTATATGTATTTATGGCACAACACCAACCTTTTTGTTTGATAGATTTAGTTTTTATTTTATTTCTATATTTACGCCACATCACCCGCATTTTTTTATTGTTATGTATGTATATATTCATTTATTTACATATTTATGCCATGTACCCAACCTTATTTATTAGTGTTAATATTTTATTTTATTTTATAATATTTATGCCACATTGGTCATTTTTGTTAGAATTAATATATATTTTATTTTATTTCAATATATATATGCCACATTACCAATGTTTGTGTTTTAGCATTTAGTTAATTAATTAGTTAGTTATGCCATGTACCCAACCTTATTTATTAGTGTTAATATTTTATTTTATATATTTATGCCACATTGGTCATTTTTGTTAGAATTAATATACATTTTATTTTATTTCTATATGTATGCCACATTACCAATGTTTTTGTTTTAGCATTTAATTAATTAATTTGTTAGTTACTTAGTTATGCCATGTACCCAGTCTTATTTATTAGTGTTAATATTAAATTTTTATTTATTTAATGCAGTATATTTATGCAACATTACAAACATTTTTGTTAGACTTAATATTTATTTTATTTTATTTTTATATTATGCCACATCACCATTCATTCATTCATTCATGTGTTAGTTAATTTATGTATTTATGTATTTATTAATATATTCAAGTATTTATTTATGCCACTTCACCAACCTTTTTCTTAACATATGTTTATCTGTCTATCTATCTATCTATTCCTTCCTTCCTTCCTTCCTTCCTTCCTTTCTTAATTTTTGTAGTATATAAAATAGCTAATATTTTTATGGTGTGATTTTTTTATTTATTTATTTAAACAAATTAATATAGAATTGTAATGCTGGCCATTTATTGTTAGTCATCTATAACATTATCTATATCGGGTGGAATTGTAACATCGGTGCATTTCTATTCTTATACTTTATTCTGCATTATTTTAGGTTTTTTTATGTGTTTTATGTGTTGCTTTACCCAACAGATTGAAGTCCTGAAGAATGTCACCAAAGATGAACTGGTATCTTTTTTCATGGAGCACAGACACGCCAGCAGTAGAAAACTAAGTATACATGTATGTTACTTATTTGCTGAATCTATTCTCTTTTTAAAGCATCATTGAGAGGGCAGAAAATGGTAATTACAAACTAAATAAACTATTTAACTAAACTGTTAATCATGTTAGCATCTACCAAATCACTCTACTGTATGATCCGAACAGGTGGTTGGATTCGGAGAGAAAGAGAAGGAAACCCATGGAGATGATCAGTCCAGTTCATCCCCAGAGTCTCAGGATACCGAAAGGAAGACTTCCTCATACGGAGATGTGTCCGAGCTCATCTTCCTGCCTGCCTCGCCTGTCCTCGCCAAAGCCAGCAGGATAACAGACATCCGCGCGTTCACGTCTTCCCTCAACCTGCACCCCTACCACAAGATCCTCCAGTGAGACTGAAGAGCACTGAAGAGCCGGCTACTTCCAGATGAAGCTCTGCAAAAACACTCTTATCTGTCTCTGACGTTTGTAATCACACAAAAATACAAGTGGATATTGTATTCAGTCAAGTGACACATAGGAACTGTTGTTTAAGTAATCCAGTCTTCCATGTATTCCAAGTTTTTCATGTAGAGGACAAAAATCTAAATAACATATAAATGTATTAGATTATCAGGGATAATGTGCATATCATTAAAATATATACATTGAATAAATCAGATATACAGTATATATGAAAATAAGTGGTTGCTGGAAATCATTTTTTTAAGGTAAATGTGTTTTATCTTGAATTCTCATTGTGAATAAAAATTTGGAGATGTGGACACAAAGCCTTGTACCTTAGATTTGGATGATATAGTATTTAGTATGTTTTATTCAAATGTCTAATCATTAAATGTTCATTTTAATAATAAATACAAATATGCTTTCTAATTACGTTTTGTAAAGAAAGAAAACGTTTTGTATTATTTATATAGTATTAATATTTTTAATGATTATTATTACATAATGTTATATATAATATTAGTGTAGCTTTTATTTTTATATTTTCAATTTTCATATTAAAGGGGTCATATGATGCCATTTTAAAGATCATTATTTTGTGTATTTGGTGTAACAGAATATGTTGACATGCTTTAATGTTCAAAAAACACATTATTTTTCAAATACTGTACATTATTGTAGGTCCTCTATGCCCCGCCTCTCTCAAACGCTTCGTTTTCTACAAAGCCCCCTCCTTTGACAAGCGCAGCCTGCTCTGATTGGCCAGCTGACCCAGTGCATTGTGATTGGCCGAACACTGCAAGCACGTGTCGGAAATATAACGCCCCTTTACCATAATCGCGAGCTTCATCTTTCAAAGTAAGTATCAAGACAGTTAATAATGTCATTAGTTTTACCATCAGTTCAAGCCCGAAAGGGCAACAGAGTCGCGTGACAGACACAGTGATGATGCAGTACACAAGCCGCGGTTAAGACAGCTGACGTGCTATGATTTCTGACAGGC